AATTGTTGTTTAAACACTGACAATTTATTAGTCAAGGTGTTTAGGAAAGTTCTCTCTTGTTCTATGTCTTACATGATGATTGAAATAACCATAAAAACTCAAAGTCATCAGACTATTAGTTTTCATGGTTTTAGACTCTGTGGCTCCTCAGTGTTAAATGACTACAAGGAAGATCCTTTACCTGCTCTGTGGTCCTGGAACTCACAATATGGACTATCCAAAGCAGCTTTGTTTTGTTTGCCAAGCACAGGCTTTCAAAAGCAAGAATTTGATGTAATGGGAAGGGGCTCACAGGGCTACTCAGTTGTGTTGGACATGAGTGCTGGCTGGGAAGGCTGTGCAGTCACACATTACTGCAAACAAAACATGTCACCCTTCAGTGATCTTAATGCTTTGTCCATTAAATGTACTCCCTTATGTAAATGGCAGCGTATTTAACTGGTAAACAGATGTTCCCCACTGTCATTGCAGAATTAAAAAGCTGTGGTTTATAGTTTGCGTTAAGCTCTGGGTTTCTTATTTCCCTGAGTATTTTTCATGATCATTTCTGCTTTCTTCTCCCCCTATCCCACATCTGAGTTTTGGTTCTATTGTGACCTTACTCTTCTTGGTTTAGGGAACAAATGCTCTTGACAATATACAAATATTCACATAAAAAAGATGTAGAATGTAACATTAAAACATGTTATATTTAAGGTGATTTGGCCTTAATTCAGTCTGACTTTAATTGAGGGCATGGTCTTAATGAACTGCTCTGTTATAACCCTTAGTTTAAAATACAAGATACTCACCATGTCAGGTTGTTTCTTAGAAGATGATTTTTAAATAACAAATGAATACCTAGCCTATCAATAGGCAAAAGGATTTGTTTGTCAATTCAGGAAATGTGAAATCTTATAAGCTAACCTGCTCTCAATTAACTAGAATTTAAGGCTTTTTATATTATCATACATTTCCTTGTAATTATTTATCACCTATTTTTATAGATTATATTTTCTGATAAAGACATCCCATTCAGGTATGCTGCATTGAAAGTATTTGTTAAGAGTTTGAGTAGGTTTTGCAAATCTTGAGGTCCTCCTATCATTATTGCCTATTTATTAAACCACCGGTGGGAGGATTATTTGCCCTTTGCTCTCAGAATGATGAACTTGCTGCTACTTTATCATGAGGACTAAGATTCCTTCCTTAAAGATCTGCAAAATTTGGTACAATAATAATAAATAATCAAATAATTAAATTGAGAGTATCTAACAGTGCCTTGTAATAGTAGGTGCTCAATCATTATTTGTGCGTGGGTAGATATCTTAGATCTTTCATTTTCCCATATTATGGTTATTTCTTTAATAAATATCATTGAAGTATAACATAATAAAGGAAAGTACACAAATCATAGGTAGACAGCTTGATGGATTCTCACAAAATAAATACACCCTTGTAACCACCATCCAGATCAATATATAGAACACTACTACCATCCTACCATCCTAGAATCTTCCTATGTGCCCACTGCCAGTTATTACCTCCCAAAGGAAATTGACATATAGATTTCTAACATGATAGAATAATTTGGCCTGTTTTTAAACTTTGCATAAATTGAATAATACAATGTATACTATTTTTTGTTGTTGTTGTTTTTGAGGTAGGGTTTTGCTCTGTGGCCGAGGCTAGAGTGCAGGGGTGCAATCATAGTTCACTGCAGCCTCAAATTCCTTGGTTCAAGTGATCCTCCTGCCTCAGCCTCCTGAGTAGCTAGGACTACAGGCATATGCTACCATGGCTGGCCAAATTTTTTTCTTTTTTGTAAAGATGAGGTATTGCTATGTTGCCCAGGCTGGTCTTGATCTCCAGGCCTCAAGCAGTCCTCCTGCCTCAACCTCCTGAAGTGCTGGGATTAGAGGTGTGAGCAACTACACCCATACTACAATGTGTACTCTTTTGTGACTGGCTTCTTTCCCTAAACATTATGTTTTTGATATTCTTCCATGTAGTTGCAAGTTGCAGGAGTTCATTCTTATTGCTGAATAGATTCCAGTGTATGGATATTACACAATTTATTTATCTGTTCTTCTGTCATTTGACATTTGGATTGTGTCCAGTGTTGTGCTATTTTGAATAATGGTGGTATAAACATTCTTGTATATGTCTTTTGGTGTACATATGTATGCTTTTCTGGGGAGTATAATAATTAGGGTTGGAATTGCTGAGTTATTTTAGGGTTACTATGTATTATTTATTTTACTTTCTGGTAAGGATTATACAATAATCCTCCAATGACATTCCCTGTATCTCTTTATTCTAAGTTAATGGCCTTACAATTACTTACAAAGACCGAAACCATTTGGTCCTGACACTATCCCCTTTCTTGCTTCCTTCACTGCAGTTATAGTTACCTCCCTGCTGTTCCTTGAACACACCAGGCATGTCTCTCCCTTAGGGCCTTTGCCTTTGCCACTTCTTTCTGCCTGGTAGCTCCTCTAGCAAATGTTTGCAAGGTCTCTCTCCCTCACCTCCTTTACTTGACTCAAATGTCACCTTCTCAGGAAGGCCTTTCCTGACCAATTATTGAAGCTGTAACTTTTCCCTATTACCATATTATACTCCCTATTATCCTTCCTTGCATTATGTTTGTTCATAGCATTGATTGATATCTCACATACTATATGTTTTTATTTGTGTGTTTTTCAGTCTCTTTCCACTAGAATGTAAACACAATGAAGTCAGGAAATTTTTTTTATTATTATTAATAGAGATCACTATGTTGTGCAGGCTGGACTCGAACCCTGGGCTCAAATGATCCTCCTACCTCAGCCTCCTGGGTAGCTGGGACTATAGGCACACGCCACTACACCTGGCTGAGACAGGGATTTTTGTCTGTGTAGTTTTGTTTCCTCCACTGCTGAATCCACTGCTATATCAACAACTTTCTAGTCTTAGGACAGTTCCTTACACATAAACAGATGCTTAATCATTGTTGAATGAATAAATTAATGGATGAAAAAAGGAGGCCACAGTTGGGAAAGCAGAAAGTTGCAGAAGAGTCAGGACACCTGGGTGTTTGTCACTGCTGTGTCATTAATTGACTCTGTGACCTTAGGCAAGTCACTACCCTTATTTGTCAAATGGGGATAATAAAACACGTCCCTATTTAGGACTGTTAAGTGGATCAAGTGAGATAATGTAGGTGAAAGTGCTTTTCAAAGTTTAAAGTCTACCCAAATACGTATTCTCACTTGGCATGAAAGAATTCTTCAGGAAAACTGAGTTAAGAATGATAAAACTAATAAGGAATGCACAATGAGAGCCACAACTATTTTTTCCCTCTTGTATCTTATGAAGAAGGTTAGTGCATGTCATGGTTCAATTGCTTCTTACTTATATATTTAATGTGTTTTTCTTCTTAGCAGAGAGGAGGTTAGGGGCTCCTGCATGCATCTGAGGTCTCAAACCTCCATTCATGGGTAGGGCTGGGAGTCATAAAGGAAATCCAGGATCAGCCTGAATGATGAGAGCAGTAATAACTGCTTGCATTCATTGAGTGCTCACCATATGCCAGGCAAATGGTGCTGTGCATCCATTAGCTAATTTATCATCATAGCATCCCTTTGAGGTACTGTTACTACTCTTTTACAGGTGGGGAAAAATGAGGCAGAAGGAGGTAAAGTAACCTCACCAAGTTTGACTGGTAGGGCTAGGATTTGAACACAAGTACTCAGGTTCAGAACTCAGGTAAATAACTACTCTGCTATGCTGCCCAAGTTCTGGTAGCCTTCTACATGTATTATAGAACTGCACAAGCTAAGTCCATGGCCCCAGAAACTCCTTTCTGACTAGTTTACACAAGAGGTCAGGAGAGAGTTGGTGCTCTCTGTTGTTGCTGGGGACAGTGAAGCTTTTGTAAAGTTCTTGCCCCTTCTCAGCACTGCCTTATACTATGTAATTATTTGGATTTGACAGCCACATATAATATGGAAAATAAAATCATTGAAAACATAGTAATGCTTCTCAAAGCTATTTGTCAGTGAACTAATGACTTTTTTTTTGAAAAAAATCATAAAAAATAACTGCAATGGATTGAAACACTAAATATGTTTATATTAGTTCATCCTAATGCTACAAAAGAAAAAATAAAAGCCCTAAACCAAGTGGTTACCATTGGAGAATATTGAAGAACTCATTATTTTAAAAATTGGTAACTAAAAGACAAGAATTAAGAACTTTTTCTGCCTTTTAAAAACTTCATTGGGCCAGGCACGGTGGCTCACGCCTGTAATCCTAGCACTCTGGGAGACTGAGGCGGGAGCATCGCTCAAGGTCAGGAGTTCCAAACCAGCCTGAGCAAGAGTGAGACCCCGTCTCTACTATAAATAGAAAGAAATTAATTGGCCAACTAATATATATATATAAAAAAAATTAGCCGGGCATGGTGGCACATGCCTGTAGTCCCACCTACTCGAGAGGCTGAGGCAGAAGGATCGCTTGAGCCCAGGAGTTTGAAGTTGCTGTGAGCTAGGAAGATGCCATGGCACTCTAGCCCGGGCAACAGAGGGAGACTCTGTCTCAAAAATAAATAAATAAATAAATAATAAAATAAAAAACACTTTATTGAAGTATCACTGACACACAGAGAACTACATATATTTAATGTGCACAATTTCATGAATTTGAGCATATGCAAATACCTGTGATACTATCACCATGTGAACATTCTCTGAAAAGGTATTTGGAGGAAATAGACTTTATTCCAGTGAACAGCTGGAAAATACAGCATTAGATATAAGAAAGGGGCATTGTAGAGAACAAAGAAGTTGGGGAGATTATAGAAAAAGTTCCCACCCAGGTTCCCAATTAGGTCCATTTTTGCTAATTAAAAAAAAAAAGGAACTTCCTTTAGTTCTGATTGGTCAGCACATCTGAGTTCTGATTGGTCCATACAGCTGAGCCCTGATTGGCCAGGGCAGGTGAGCTTTGAGTGGTTGTTTTCCAAGCACTCTTTCAGGTGTGTCTTTGGGCTGGCGGCATACCAGGGCAGGGAGGAGGACGGTTCGCGGCAGTATATCTTGGCACTGACAACAGGAACTGATTTGGCTTGACTGTAGAGGGAGGTCCTGCGACACTTCTACAACCTCTGTCTGAGAACACGAGTACGTGATCACTCCCTTACCCAGCCATGGCCACCTGGTTCTGTTTTAACGTCGAGCACCTCAGTTAGCCATTTGCTCTGTCAGCTGGGGTAATACTTTAACGACCACAGTCAAGATAATAGACATATCTAAAACCTCCCAAAGTTTCCTGGTGTCCCTCTATTTGTTCTATGGTAAGAACACTTCATATGAGATTTACCTTCTAAACAAATTTTGAAGTACCCATATCATATTGTTAACTACAGGCACTATGTTGTTTAGCAAATTTCTAGAACATATTCATCTATAAAAACTGCAACTTTAGTATACTCATTGAACCACGATGTCTCATTTTCTCCACCCCAGCCTCTGACAACCAGTATAATGTTCTCTGCTTCTATGAGTTTGACTATTATAGATACCTCATATGCATGGAATCACGCAGTATTTGTCCTTCTGCGATTGGCTAATTTCACTTAACCTAATGTCTTCCAGGTTCATCTGTGTTGTTGCAAGTAGCAACATATCCTTCTCTTTTTTAAGGCTGAATAGTTTTCCACTGTATGTATACCATATTTTCTTCATCAATTCTTTTGTCAATAGACATCTTGGCTATTATGAATAATGCTGCAATGAGAATGTAGATATATCTTTGAGATACTGATTTCCATTCTTTTGAATGTATACCCAGAAGTGGGATTGCTGGATCATATAGTAATTCTATTTTTAATTTTTTGAAAAATCTCCGTAATGTTTTTCATAGCTGCTGAACCATTTTATATTCACACAAACAATATACAAGGGTTCCAATTTCTCCACAACCTCACCAACACTTGTTATCATTTTTTTAAAAATAACCATGCTAACAAGTGTGAAGAGTATCTCATCATAGTCTTGATTTGCATTTTTCTGATAATGAATGATGTTGAGCATCTTTTCATATACTTATTGGTCATTTGTATGTGTTTTTTAGAGAAATATCTGTTCAAGTCCTTTGCTCATTTTTTAATTGGATTATTTGTGTGTGGGTTTTGTTTGTTTGTTTTGCTATTGAGTTGCAGGAATTCCATTTATATTTCAGAAATCAAACCACTATCAGATATATGGTTTGCAAATATTTCATCCCATTCTATAGATACCTTTTTCATTCTGCTGATTGTTTCCTTTGCTGACCTGACTTTCTTAGATGAACTGTACAATGGAGTAATCAATTAGTAGATTAATAAAGTTTCTCTACAAAGAAGTATCCCAACACATAAATGAAGGCAGCATAACATTGGAATGTCACCATTTTGCAACTCAATCTAGCCATTGAGCATCAACACTGAGAGACAGCAGACAGTATATGCCTCCTGCTGGAAGAAAACAATGCCAAGTATCAGGTAGTTTTGCTAAGAAACTTGAACCTGAATATGTTTAAGCTCCTAGATCAACATAACAATTTACAGAAAATATAGAGGACAAAAGAATATATTAAATAATGTATTAGCAAAATCCGATCTCTGGGAAACTTTAGAGAACAATTTAATTTATTTAACAAAAACATTGCAAAGAATAAAAGAAGGAGGAGGAACCTCTGAATTAAAAGATACTTGTAAGACATATTACCCAATTGCAATATGTATACTAATTTGAATCCTGATTTGAGCAAAAAAACTGCAAAAAATTTATGATGTATATTGACTGAAAATTTGATGGTCTTAAGGCATCCCTTTTTTTTATATAAGTATAATGGCATCTAGGTATACTAAGAGTCCTTATATTTTAGAGATACATACTGAAATACTTTTAGATGAAGTGATATGATGTCTGGGATTTCCATAAAAATAATATGGGAGAAAGAGATAAATAGGTATACAGATAATATCTAATTGTTCATAAGTTGATAATTACTGAAGCTGGATGATGAGTACATCAAATGCTTTAGTAAATGTATGAAATGATTGAATGTTCGAATGTGTTATCAGGTACCAAAAAATATATTATGTTTATTTCACTTCTCATGGAGCTAAAATGAAATGTCTATATTGGTGAAGATGTGAAGCAATTGGAAATCTTATACATTGCTGCTTGGCATCTAAAATCACACACCACTTTGGAAAACTGGCAGTTCTTTATAAAGTTGAATATGTACGTATCCTGTGATCCAACCTTCTCACTTCTAGATATTTACCCAAGAGAAATGAAAACATATATCCATAAATAGCTATAAACAAGAATGTTTATAGCTCTTTTACTCACAATAGCCGGAAATCAGAAACAGACTAAATCTCCATCAATAGCAAAGTGAATCAACAAATTGTGGTGTATTCAGACAATGAATACTACTCAGCAATATAAAGAAAAAACTACTGATATAATCAACAACATGGCCGAATCTTATAGACATGATGCTGAGTAAAGGGAGCTAGACAGAAGAGCCTGCAGTATAGTTTTCCTGTTATGAATTCTTAAACTGGCAAAACTGATCAATGGGGATGGAAATGAGAAAAGGGATTGCCTCAGGGAGGGGGGTTTGACTGGGAAGTGCAGGAGGGATCTTTCTTGGGGTGAAGGGTACATGGATATATATGTTTGTCAAAATGTATTGACCTATGTACTTAAGATTTGTACATGTTGCTGTGTGAAAATTATACCTTGATTTAAAAATAATAAAAATAAAATCACTGAGAGGGTCAGACAACTACTTCTGTGGTGTGAGGCACACAGGCAGAGCTGTCTGTTGTCCTAGTATAGCAGCTAAGGCAGCCTCAGCCTAGAAAGATCCCAAGGGAGAGGAGTCCTCCATGACTAGATATTTCTATATCTAGCTCAGGCTGAAAAGTTTTCTTTCCTGAAAACATTGGTCAAGTGGGCCCTGAAAAAAACAGGCAATTACTAGTGTAGTTAAGTTCTACCTGAAGGTCAAAGGCGAGTGATTTTTTTTTTTTTAAACAGCATCTTGCTCTGTTGCTGGGGAGCTAGTGTGCAGTGGCATCATCATAGCTCACTACAACCTCACACTCATGTGTTCAAGCCACCCTTCTGCCTTAGCCTCCCAAGTAGCAGGGACTACAGGCCTGCACCACCATGCCCAGCTAATCATTTCAATTTGTTGTAGAGATGGGATCTTGCTTTTGCTCAGGCTGGTCTTGAATTCCTGCTTCAAGCAATCCTCCCACCTTGGCTTCCCAGAGTGTTAGGATTACAGGCATGATCCTGGCAAGTGCTTTTTAGCAAGCTTTCAGGTCATCATAAACCAGAGACATAAACAGTAAACTAAAGCTGGGAATGGGAGGCCTGGTGCTCAGATCATCTGTGCTAGTCTCTGGCTAGTGTCTGTCTTGACATAGGCAAGACAGTTCACTTTTCTGGACACCAGTTTCTTTTTTCCCAAAATGAAGAAACTGTATAGAATGGTCTCTGGGGCCTCTATTGTAACTAACATTAGGAGACTGCACAGCTTTATCTTTCCCTGGAGTGCTAAAGAAAGTCCCAAACTGAACCCAACGTCATTTTCTCTAGCCGTGCTCCTTTTCCTGCTTTCTTTCCCTAAGTTTCTCAGGTACCACCGTCATGCATGTGTTCATTCAGTAGATTCTTAATGAGTGTGTAGGTTGCCAGGCACTGCTTCAGGTATTGATGATGCAGCAGTGAACAAAAGAGACAAAATCCCTGCCCTGAGGAGTCTCATATATTCTGAGGGAGGGAGATAGATGATAATGAAATCATTTAAGAGGGTAGAGAAAGATGTAGCAGGTAAGGGACAGGCGATCCTGGTAAGGATGATTTGCAGTTTTAGTAGGGTGGGTCAGGAAAGGTCTCACTGACAAAGTGACATCCTATGTAGATACATGGAAACTGCCCCTTGTTATGGACTGAATATTTGTGTCCCACTTGAATTAATATGTAGAAATGCTAACCCCCAATGTGATGCTATTTGGAGACAGGGCCTTTAGGAGATGACTGGGGCTGGATGTGGTCATGAGGGTGGGGCCCTTATGATGGGATTGGTGCCCTTACAAAAAGAGGAGGAGACATGAAATCTCTCTCTGCTCTCCACTGTGTGAGGATATAATGAGAAGATGGCTGCAAACCAGTCTGCAAAGCAGGAAGTGGGACATCACCAGACACCAGATCTGCCAGAGCCTTGATCTTAGACTTCCCAGCCTCCTGAATTGTGAGAAGTAAATTGTTATTTAAGCCACTCAGTCCTGTAGTGATTTGTTATAGCAGCCTGAATTGATGAGGACATCCCTGGTCCACCCCTTTTTGATACCTCCCATACCTAGACATCTGGGCATGGAGGGTATCAATTACACAGTGTAATATTTCTCAATTTTATTTCCTCCCCTAACTAATAATGGCCAGGTTCAGGGTTTTATCATCTGGATTGGATTACTAAAACAGTCTCCTAACTACTCCCTCCTGTCACCTGTCTGGTCTCCCCAAATCAATTTTCTACAAGGCCATGTCGGAGAGAGTTATCTGAAAGGTATATCTGACCTTACTAGGTAAAGACCTCCTGCCAACTAGGTAAAGACCAGATGCCCTAACAAGGTGTTTGAACCTCTGTGGTCTGGCCATTGACGACTGCTCCAGCCCCATCTCTAACCCAATCAGGCTTGCCACCTCCATTCCAGAGTGGAACTTCCCCTTCCGTATGCAACACCATCCAGAATGCTCATATTTCTCTGTTCATGCCTGTGTCAGTTTTTATTTTAAGATCCCTGTTAACAATCACTTCCCTTGTGTGATTTTTCAAATCCTGCATTCTGCACCCAATCCAGATAGGCTGGTGCCCCTCATCTATGGTTCTGTGACACCGTGACACACCTTCTGTAATCACTGTGTTTGTCACATTGTTTTGAAATCATCCAGAATGGCTCCATTCTGCCATGGGACTAAGAGCTTTCTGAGCATAGAATCACATCTTCTTCATTTTTGTATCTTGGCTGCAACCAAATAATCAATGACTTCATTTGTGTTCTGATTCATTCCTTCCTGCTCATGGATCTCAGTAGGCTAACCAGGATGATTTATAAATTGTGGCTAAAAGACAGATATGGAAAATAGTCCCATTTTAAGGCTGATTTCAGTTCAAATTAATTATCAGAGAGTCACAGAATCTTTGAGTTGGGAGAACAATTACAGGTAATCTCATTCAATTATCCACCTGACACTTGGAGGCCCTTCAACATTTCTACAAGTTGTA